TTTTCCGGGACCTCTTAGATCAATTTGTGGTGGTTTACCTTGATTTTGATCTATTCCAACTTGAGAGACAGTCAACTGCACAACCTGTGCCTGATTCTGCAACAGCTCTGGGAGAACCGCTTGTAGACCAAGTTGGAGAAGTGCCAGTTCTTCCAGTCCACCATCGAATTCCTGGGGCATTTCAATGGAGCTGAGCAAGATCAAGTTGCTGCTTAGTTGGCAACCTCCCCAACGAGTGAAGGATGTCCAGTGACTCCTCGGATTTGCCAATGATTACCGGACCTTTGTCCCCAACTTCGCTTCCCTGTGACTCCTCAGATTTGCCAATTATTACTGGACCTTCATCCCTGGCTTCGCTTCCCTGACCGCACCCCTCACTTGGCTCCTCCAAGAAAAAGGTCCCATTCCAATGGGGTGCTCCTGAACAACAGGCATTCCAGGCCTTGAAGCAAGCCTTTATGAAAGAGCTGATCCTGAAACACAACAATCCACACCGTCTGTTCATGGTGGAAGCAGACGTGTCTGATGTGGCTATTGGTATGGTGCTCCTCCAGGCTCATGCCTCCAGTGGTATCCTCTTCCCTTGCACGTATCATTCGAGGAAGTTCAATCCTTCTGAGCGCAAATATACCATCTGGGAGAAGGAGCTACTGGCCATTAAGGTGGTGTTTGAGGCTTGGAGGTATCGTTTGGAGGGGGGGCGCCATCAAATGGAAGTCCGGATGGATCACAAAAACTTGGGAGTTTTTGAAGACCGTCCGGAAATTGAATCAACACCAGATCCGGTGGTCCCTTTTCTTTGCCTGGTTTAAGTTCCATGTCACTTACATTCCAAGTGATTGCAACCAATGGGTGGACACACTCTCACGGAAGCCCAAGTACTTGCGTCCAGAGGATCAACTCCTACTCCAGACAGTGCTTCCCGTAGAGTTGTTCTCCACAGTGCAGGAACTACTAGCAGATATAGGAGGCGCAGTGGCATGACGGATTAATGGAAGCAGGAGGTGGGACCCAACTCTCCATGGTCATTCACAGAGGAACTCTTGTGGTACCGCAACAGGCTCTATATCCCAGCAGGGCCGCTCTGGAGACTTATCTTGTTGCAGTGCCATGACAACCCTGCGGCAGGGCACTTCGGCCTCTTCAAGATGTTGCATCTTGTGTCTCAGACTTTCAGGTGGCCCCGACTACGACACAACATGCAGTCCTATGTTCCATCTTGTGTGCAATGCTGGAAGGCCAAGTCAAAGACAGGGGCTCCCTGGGACTGCTCCAGCCCTTGCTGACACCGGAGAGACCTTGGGGTGCGCTTTCGATGGACTTCTTGACAGATTTGCCTCCATTGTCAGGATTCACCATGGTGTTCATGGTGGTCGACATGCTGACAAAGATGGCACATTTCATTCCGTGTCGTGGCTTACCTATGACTCGTGCCATCACTCGCATGTTTATTCATCTTCCAGCTGCATGGACTACCTGATCGGGTTGTGTCAGACCGAGTGTTGTGGTTAGCCAGCAGCAGGTGCAGATGGCTGAGGAAAGTGATGACTCTGATGAGGGGCCAGGACCATCAGGGAGTGGACTGCTGCCTTCAGAGATTGTGGGGGCTGGCAGCAGTGATGAGGAGGTTCCCAAGGAGCCTGTGCCAAGTACACGTGCACAAAGGATTACTTGGAGGAAAGAACAATTACAGCAGCACAGATGACTCGGAAGTAAGGCTGCAAGGTAATGGCCCCTCCCAGAAGAGGATAAAAGCCAGGTTTGAAAAAGTGTTCTTTGTAGAAAGCAAAGAGGCTCTGAAATTCAACTGGTGGACATCTTAGTTTGTGTTTGAAGAAACTTGTAAATTACTTCTTATCTCTGGGTTTTTGGCAGCATTGACGAACAACTTGGCAAGGCTCTTTCTTGTCTGAACTAATTAGTGGAAAGCAGCCTTTTATCTGTAAAGGAACAGAATTCGTTAAAAGGTGGGGGCTGTTGCCTTTGTGTTTTCTCTTTTGGAACCTGGTTGGGTCAGAACACCGAGGGACTCAGTTTACAGCCCAATTCTGGAAAGGGCTGATGACAGCTTTGGATGTTAAAATCTGCTTGTCATCAGCACATCATCCGGAAACCGATGGTAGGACTGAGAAAGTCATCAGGATCCTGGAGCAATGCTTTGTCAATCAACAACAGGACAATTGGTCAGACTACTTAGCAGTCACAGAGTTTGCATTTAATAACTTGCAGCACACCTCCATGCAAACTACACTGTTCCTAGCCAGTGTGGGCTATCATCCTCTGTTCTTTCCCCTGATGCCACTCGACTCGCCGATTCCGGAGGCAAAGGACTATTTGTCTGAGTTACAGGCCATTCACCAATTGGTTCAACAGTATCTGGAGAAGGCCAAAAAAGATTACAAGCCAGTCGCAGACCGCTCTCAGTGGGTGATGCCAACATTGGCTGTGGGAGATTGGGTGTGGTTGTCTACTCTGCACCTTCCATTAGACCGGCCGGTTAGGAAGCTCAACCATCGGTACCTTGGCCTGTTCCCTGTGGAGGTGGTGATCAACCCAGTCACCTACTGCCTGACTTTTCCTTGCTCGCTATGGGTCCATCCTGTTTTCCATTGCTCCCTCCTGGTTCCCAAATGGCTGGCCTGTCCGCTCCACCAACCTGACCCTCCCCTGCCAGCACCACACGATGGAGAGGGACTGCCTGAGTACAAGGTCGCCAGTATTCAGGACTCCCAGTATCTCATCGAGTGGAAAGGTTATGGTCCAGAGGCGTTCACATGGGAGGATGCGACTTCCATCCATGCCTCGGCTTTAGTGGATGTCTTTCACACACAATTTCCATCATGGCCACATCTGGACCGTCAGACTCAGGGGAAGGGCCCTGCAGTGAGGGATAGTGTTGTGATTCACCGGCAGCAGGTGCGGAGGTCTCTGACAGCAAGGACTCAGATGAGGGTACTTCATGTGATGCAAGGATGGGGCCAGGACTATCAGAGAGTGGGGTGCTGCCTTCGGAGATTGTAGAGTCTGGCAGCAGTGACAAAGAGGGACCCGGGGAGCTTGTGCTCAGTGTGTGTGCTCACAGGGCTGCTCAAAGGAAAGAGCAGCTGAAGCAGCACGGGTGACTCAGGAAGGTGATGGCCCCTCCCATAAGGGATAATAGTCAGCCTTCAGGGTTGGCTTCTTTGCAGGAAGCAAGGAAGTTCTTTATGCTCAGAGTTCTCATCCTCCAGGTTGTTTTTGGAAACTTCTGGCTTGGGATAGTTTGTCATGCCCCTGTTGGAATCTGATTGTGAGGGGGAGGTCAAGCAGCTGAAAGGGAGTGGGATGTGGCTTCGTTGGCTGTGGAAGAAACTGGAGAAGGGCACAGTCCAGCTGGGCAGAGCAGGGGAGAGGTAGAGCAAGGCAGAGGGAATTCAGAGGAAGATCCAGGCCCACCCCCTCTTCATCCTGGGGCACGCAGGGAGGAACAGAGAAGGGAGCAACATGACTTGCGTGGCTTAGGGGGGAGGAAAGGGCCCCGATTCCCTTCATTTGCTGCAGCTGGGAACACAGTGTTTAAAAAGGGAATTTGCGCACAGCAACTTGTTGGAAGCAAATCATGTATTATCTTGTTTTGTCGAGGCTTATCTGGGTTCCTGGCGTCTTCCCAACTGTGTGTGTTTTGTTGGCCTTTGAAGTCTGCAATTCCTTATCCTGCCCTGTCCAGTTAATTGCTACAGAATGGTTTGTGTGAATTTTTATTTACAGTTTATATGTACTTTGTTTTCGGACTGAATTTCCTCCACTTAAAGACTGTTCTTGGGAGAGTTTTTTCTCCAGCCAAAGGTAACTGGAAATTTGGGGCAAAGTTGGAGGTATTAAAAGGACTTTTCTTACTTATGTGACTGTGTTGCCTTTGTGCCACGCCCTGGGTCATCACATATTTATCTGCAATTAGTCTTTTGTTCTTGGCAACCTTTCGCAATCTTGAAAAGGCTTGCTCTTATCTGGGATAATTAATTTGAAATGATTCTTGGCTGTGAATGTGTAGAATTCACAGCGCCCCAGTAAAAGAGCTTTGTTTTTATGAACAATTTGTGTTTGTTTGATTTGAACGAGGCTTGGGTCAGAACATCATGTGATCTGCTGTCGTCGGGCCAGGGGAGTGAGAGTTGGGGGTGATTTTTTATTTATTTTTTTCCAGATTTTGTTCTATTGTACTTAATTAATTTATTTGATTCTTTTGGTTAGTTTTTATTGTTTTTTGTTTTAAATATTCTGTAAGCCGCCTCGAGTTGCCATGGGCGAATAGCAGCAATATAAATTCAATAAATAAATAATGTCTCTGTCAAGGGGGCAGAATATCATATCTGCCTGGCTTGGCTTGGGGGGCCTTACAGGCATCCTGCTATAAAAAGAAGGGGGGTAGGATGAAAGGGGGAAGAAGGGGGGTGAAGAGGAAACGATGAAAGGGCAATAAAGCTTTGTGAGTATGTGATAGGAAATTGGGAAGGGGGAATGACAGATAAGAAGGATCAGAGCAGCCAGATCCAGTTTGTATCAGCATCTCACGGCCAGGCACCTGAGAAATATGCGCCTTACTCCCTAAACATTTCAGAGCTCTCAAAACATCTTGGTGAGCTCTGGTTGACTGAAAATGGACTGATCACTGGGGTTGAGGAACGGGCTGGAGACAAACCTCCATCTTATTTTTGTATCCAGCAAGTGAGGTACTTTCAGAACTGGCTTAACTTTACTGCTATCACCACTCTTAGTAAAAGAACCCTTTGCTTTAACCAAATGTAGTCGAACATTTTTCTTTCCTAAGGTATCAGATTGGGGCAAGTCTGACAAAAGCTGTTATCCAAATGAAACCATACTAAAAAATCTATGTTTGCCTTAAAAAATTAAGATAGGGTAAGATGTAAGGAGAAGAAAAAAAAATACAACCTTATTTTCAAGCAGCAATCATTATCTTGAAATACTTCATTATCTATTTTTACTATGTGTTTTACTCACAGTATTGGAAAGGAGATTTGAGATTTCTTAGCCTGAAGCTTGAAGATTCAGGCATGTATCAATGTGTAGCAGAAAATATACATGGAATGATTTATTCAAATGCTGAATTAAAAGTTATTGGTAAGTGTATTATACTACATTATTATTCAAGATTTTAGGTAGAAAATACAATAATTGCATTCAGCTGCCCCCTGGTCATGTGACCACATATCAGGTGCTCATCAACCAGCCTGCATTTATAGCTATTTGCATGTTCCTAGAGTCACATGACCACATTTTATCTTTTTGAACAATCTGAATATTTTTTCCCATAGTTTATTTTCCATAAATGTGTGATAGTTTATTGCATTTTATGCTGTGGGATTCTTCCATTGAAAACAAATTGATTCCTCATTAGCCTGATACAAACTCCAGGTTTGATCTAAAGGACTCTGTTACATATTTAGAGATATGTGGAAAAAAAATATAAAAATGCTTATTGTACAGTAGAAATTATTTGCACAATTTGCAGTATTTTAAATTGTTATTGTGTTGTCTAATTGGTGTGAAGTTCTTTGGTAATATTTGAAGAATTAGAAATTAAACTTGTAGAAACTGTAGTGGCATATACAGGTAGTCCTCGACTTACAACAGTTCACTTAGTGACCGTTCAAGGTTACAACAGCACTGAAAAATGTGACTTACTTTTATTTTTACAACTTTTGCAGCATCCTCATGATCATGTGATCAAAATTCGGATGCTTGACAGCTGGTTCATATTTATGACCATTGCTGTGTTCCAGGGTCATGTAATCCCCTTTTGCGACTTTCTGTCAAACAAAGTCAATGAGGAAGCCAGATTAAGTTAACGACCAAGTTACTAACTTATCAACTACGATGATTCACTTAACAACTGAGCCGAGAAAGATTGTAAAATGGGGTCAAATTCACTTAACAAATGTCTCACTTAACAACAGAAATTTTGGGCTCAATTGTGGTCGTAAGTCAAGGACTACCTGTATTAAGATAGAGAATATCTCCTTTTGTTCTGTTGAATTGCAATAAGGATGGAAAACTTCTGTCAACCAATAGTATTTTAAGCATTGGTGTTGATTTTAGTCTGCTATACCAAATATATATCTTTTGTTTCTTTTGAGTCTTTCAGCATGTAAAAGGAATACATTGTTTCTTACTTTCTGGATTGGTTAAATATTATTTCTCAAATAAAATTAATGCATAAAATCATTGATTTATTTAAATGTTCTATTTTTGAGAATAGATGCAACTATAATGTCTCACAAACTCAACATTATTGTTCAACTTAGTTTTATTCTGCAAACTCTCTCCAGGTTTTCAGTATAATTGACTATTATATGCTATTGTCAGAAAGAGTGTCTTCAGCAGACATAGGAACACACTGGTAGCATCATACTGTAAAGTATGCATGTCTAATAATTATGTTTTTCTTCACAGTTTTACCTCCAACCTTTGAATTCTGCCCAATGAAGAAAGATGTTTTAGCTGCAAAAGGAGGGCAGGCTATAATTGAGTGCAAGCCTAGAGCAGCTCCTAAACCAAAAATTACCTGGAGTAAAGGGACAGAAATTCTTAGAAATTCAACCAGGTTAGTATTACTATTGAGTATAGTAAATAGTCTACAAAGCATTATTTCAGAGTTCAGTCTCATTTTTTTTTTAAAAAAAATGTGTTTCTACATGGTTTGTCCTGAATATAATTGTGCCACAGAAATGGAAAACTGTATTAATACAAGAGAATAAATATTTAGGCTAGTTGGTCACATTGGCCTTCTTCATGGTTAAGGTTTGTGAAGAAACATTGTTAAAGGAAAGCAGGCCATGCTTTTTTTCTTCTTCTCTTCAAATTCTGCAGTTCCATCAGTAGTTTATTCATTTGAGCTTTGTTCACTGCACAAAGATAGGCAATGTGACAAGAAATGAATGAACCCAACACTGTTTGTCATTCAAGATGGTGGTTGCTTTTGAATGAATCTTAAAAAGTGTACAACTATTTTAAGGAGTCTACTCCTTATGAGCAATAAATCTTTAAAGTAGCTGCATTTTTTTTCTACCTGCCTCCCCACATACATTGTGTTTATCTGAGTATTGGGATTAAAACAAAGTAAACCCTTCTGTGTCCTACTGGTGTCATCTGCTTCCTAGAAAGTGTTTTTTTTCTCCAGTCATACTAGTTCAGCATAAGATAGATAGTTGCCTATATAAAAAGATGTTCCTCCCAAATTTTTCCCCCATTGAACTGCTGTGTAATATGGAAGATCTGTTTGTTCTGATTGGACAATTGGGTAACTCTCCCTCGTTCCTGGAATTAAGCAGCAGAATGTGAACAAATAGCAATGATTATTATAGGTACGAAAAGACTTTGTGTAACTGGCAGGAGAGGGGGAAAAAAGTGGAATGTGTAATGCCATATTTCTCTTTCCATCCACATTTTCTTATTATTCTATTGTTGATTCTCAAGTTTCTTAACAATTGCTTTTTCAATAGGATACATATATGGTATGATGGCAGCCTAGAAATTATTAATGTTACAGCAGTCGATGCAGGCAATTACACCTGCTTTGTGGAAAACAACAAAGGAAAAGCTAACAGTTCTTCTGCTCTTATAGTCACAGGTAATTTCAAACTTCTCTAAATCCTCAGATAGCATGGACGTCAGATTACGTATATTGAAATCATTTTCAATTTTCTAAATAAATCTGGGTCAATTTGATAAGCCTATTAATTTAGTCATTCTATATAACAAAATAATATATTTTCTTACATCTTATCTCTGATTCTGATTACTGACATTTTGTATGTGGTTCACTGAATTTACACTTTACAGAAGAGTAGCTGTATTAATCTAAAGGAGAGGTTCGCAACCATTGCGGTTTGGTAGCCTGTCTGCGGGGGGAGAGGGGAATTGAGTTGCATGAATGGTAGGCCAGTGCGTACAAGCGTGGATGCAGCCCTTGCACTAGTGGCAGACGGGCGCATAGACACATAGCTTGACTTGTGTGAGTGGTGGGATGTTGTGCACATGCATGAGTACCTGCCAGCCCACTGCTTGCGCAGGTTAAGCTGTGCACACACACTTCAGCCAGCTACTCACACTCAATTCCGAATAGGCCATGGCCCAGTAGTGGGCTGTGGTCCAGGGATTGGGAGATTCCTGATCTAAAGCATTGAGCAAAGAATCTTGTGACAATTGGCACTTTTATTAAATTTCTTGAACTATAGGCTGCTTCATTAGATGCACTCATATATTAAAAGTTAAGACCAAGTACATAGGTATTTATTTGTATATATAAGTGAGAGGAAGAATATTTTATATCAAAGACATAATAAAAATGATTTATATTGGAGAACAATTTGCACTAGTCAAATAGAAATGAAATAATTATTTCTTCAGAGTAATATATCACACATATGGTAGCATTATACTATAGTATTTTACATAACTTTAAGCTAGATCTGAGTCACATACTTTTAAACGTGATTAAGTTAAAACCATAGGCACCTAACCATTGAAAATAATACTGGAGTATTTCATATAAGTTACTTTAAATATTATTGAGGAATAGGAAATACTTTGTGCACATTCTTTGTAGTACTAAGAATAGAATCTCATGTACTCTTATACAAAAATAGCAATTTGAGTATTTTATTTATAGATAAATTCATTTAATTCCGAGCTTCCATGTTATACTAATTACATTGCAGTTACTTAACCTGTTATTTACTTATGTACCCTGCAGTAAATTTACATGGTACAAACATGACTTTGCACCACCAAATTTAGCTTGAGGATGATTTGAATATACTGTAATTCATCCTACATTTTTATTGAAGAAATATTACCCTTGTTGACACAAATGCAAATTTTCACTCATACTCTATTAAAGTCCCTAGAAGTATTAAATTTCTAGAAGTAACCACTTACAAAAATTTAAATATTGCTGCTTATATTTGAAAATTAAATTTGTAGAAATAATTTCTTGCAAAAATTTAAATATCTGCTGCTTATAATTGCTGCTTCTAGTCTCAGCTGTGATCTGGGACATTATTCTAAAGGAATTCCTGGCAAGAAATTAATAATTGCATGATAATTCACATGATAGTCCCACCACTGGATCATTCTCTCATCAATTGGATGAGGTTTATTATTTGGGTGGGCCCCCAAATATGAATAATCTTTGACATAAGTTGTTACAGTAATTTTTACTTTTGACCCTAAGATTGGCCTAGAACTGTAAATACTGTCCATGAAAGGTTAAATACAAACCAATTTTTCCTATGTTCAGAAAATGAAAACTATATTAGAATTTGCAAAGTAAGGAAAGAAAGATCTACCAAAACACCTCAAATTTTTACCTATATTTCTTTTGCTATTGAAATACAGTTATCCACAGTAAAGTTGTATATTTTTCAGGTTTTAAGTAAATCAGAGCCTCAATTGTTGCATATTTAATGACTTGCTAATATATAACTACATTTTTTGTGTTAACTGCAAAGCTGCAACAAGGATAACATTAGCACCAACTAACGTTGATGTCACTGTTGGATTGAATGCTACCATGCAATGTCTTGCATCCCATGATCCTTCTTTAGACCTGACTTTTATTTGGCTCTTAAATGGATATCCAATAAATGTTGATAAAGAGAGTGATTATTATGAAAGATCTATCATGGTGAGTTGCCTCATATTTCTCTATTGACTTATTTACATTTGGGTGGTGTGATTATTTTTTCTTGGTATTTTAGAGAAAGGAAAAGAGGGAACAATTATTTTGAAGCGTTTTCCTCCCATATTACCATTTACTCCAGAAGAAAGGAAAGTTACTATCTTAGAAGAAAAGAAAGTTACTGTCTCATGAGCCACAATGTTATAACCACCTATAAACTTATATTGTTCATAAATTTATTATTAGCACTCCAGCATCAAAACAAGTTATTCCAAAAACTGCTTATTTTCAAGTAATAGAGAATGTTGTTTATACATAGCAATGTCTTCTTTCAAAGTCTTTTCTGCAACTAAAAACGAAACACTGCACTTGGGTCAACAGAATGATTGGTATTAATCAACCTCACTATGATGAATCCAGGCCACTGTGTTCAGTGTCGGACCACATATATTATTTATTTATTGCATTTATAGTAACTGTCATTTTTGTTTTGGCAAAGCCTTGGAGCATTCATTTCTTGCGTTTCCATGGCTACTAAAGAACCTCTCAATGTGCTGCTTTGAGTACACTATGGAAATAGAACTGTCCCACCTGGTGTGTTTGTTTCGAGCCAAGATATTAAGATTCCCTCCAAAAATAAGAAATTGAATGGGTGGGCAAGCACACAGAGTTTCTTGTTTATTTCCCACTTTGTGGAATACCGTGTCTCCAGAAATATGGATGACCTCTTCCCTAACAGTGTTTCCAAGTCAAAGGAGATGCTTCTCAGAGTTTTAAAGAAATAATTATATAAATTTTATTAAAGATCTAAATGTAAATGTTGCCTACTGGTAGCCTGGATTCTGTGTTGTGTTTTAAGTGATAATAGTTCTACTGTGTTTCTCAGAAAATAAGACTGGGTCTTATATTTATTTTTGTTCTGAAAGACCCATTAGGGCTTATTTTCGAGGGATGTCTTATTTTTTTCCACATACAGGCAACGAGTGTGGGGGCTGATGGGAGTGGGTACAGCTATCAAGCTTCCAAATAATATGTGCCCTGAAATAAAATCCAAGGCATCCATTTTCTTTAAAGTCTGTTTATTTAGGAACATATCAAATTGGCAAGGACTTGGTGTAATTCCAACTCTGGCCAGATTCTGGAATTACACCCAGTAAAAAGCAAAAGTTTGAAACTTCCCCCAGAGTCACAATCTCCAATCAATTCTCAGTCCATCAGTCCAGTGACTCCAAACTCCACCTTCCCTCCAGCTGCAGGCATCTTCTCTGTTCCCACAGGAAAAAAAATGCCATCTAAACATAACATTCTCCCTTTATCTCTATAATTCCCTTTTCAACAGCTAGAGAGGGGCGAGCCTGAGTACTTTTAAATTCCTTTGCTAAAGAAGTCTAAAGAGAGTCTAAAAGAAAGCTAAGAAAAGAATAGACTTTCTACAATAAAATATGGCTACACATATGTCATCTTCAGGTTTGACAGGCTGCCTCCCTTCAACTTCCTGCAAATAGCCACAATAGATTAGTTAAATTCTAGCCTCCCCTGCCACCTGCAGGAGCCCCCTTAGGCTTGTGAGGAATCCTCTCATGAAAACTGAGAGCCTCATTCTCCACTACCTTTGGGCTGAGCACCAGCTTGTATGCCCCCTGCTCCTGGCTGCCTTTGGCCTCTACCTCCCCTGCAGTTGCTCTCCCGCTGGCTGCTGCTGCCACCTTGCCTTCTTTTTTTTTTAATAAAAGTTTTATTTAAGTTTTCACAAAGCATACAAATAAAATATTTTTTTTTTAGAACAGCGTGGCCCCGGGTTATCACTTCTCCATACAGACATAAACTCAATACATATTTATCTTATACGTTCTAATCCATATCTTATAACTATTTTCGCAATTTTTTCAATAGCTTTTCCCTTTCTTTACTTCCTATAGCCTTATTTTAAATTATCTCATTCCTTTCTTAATTCAATTACATATCTTTTTCTAATTTTTAAAATCTTTCTAATCAATGTTTTTATACTTTCGTCTGCCCTGTTTCCAATTTCATATTATCTTTTCTCATAAAACAAATTTTCCCTGTAATTACTAGACTGGAGGGTAACACCTTTGTATCTTTTTTCAAATCTTATTTAAAAATTTAAGTTACATCCTTACAGTTATAACATTCACTTTCTAACCTCTATTTTATAACACATACCTATTTTCAATCGAATTCTGCTTGGTACATTCCCTTAAAAATACACACTAAATTCTTAAAAGAAAAAAGTATATATGTGTGTATATATATGTGTGTGTGTGTGTGTGTGTGTGTGTGTGTGTGTGTATGTATAACAATAGTAAATAGAATAATAATTCTATTCAAGTACAGCTCTGCCATTAATATTAATAACAATCTTTTACATTTCTATTTCTTTTAACAAACATTACCTAGTAATATCAGTTGTCTTTCACTTTAATCATCTATATTTCATATTTTACTTATTACTGTCTTTAAATAAAAAACAAAACAATAGTTATTAACAGTACTCAATAATATTATTATTCTTATTCAAATTCATCTTGTTAACGGATAAAAATCTTCCATGTTTTTTTCAGTTTTTTTTTACTTTCTTTTTAAATCATTGAGAGCCCTATTCTCTTTACAAACAAATTTTCCATTACACATCAAGACAATTTTTTTCTATCACTTTAATCATCTAAACATATTTTCTAACCCTTTTCTATTTCTAATATAACAATGCTATCCTATGCACCCTTGCAGAATCCTCTCCTTAAGTTAAATTTTAACCATTGTCTCTGTGTCTTTTAAATAGGTTTATACCTTTAATTCTTGTATGCTTTTCCTGTACCTTTATATCTTGTTTCTGTCCTTTGTAGCTTCTTTTCCTTTCCCTCTTCCCTCTCTTCTTCTCCCTTCCCTTTTTATTCCCTTTTCTATCCGATTCTCCCTTCTGTGATCCTCACTTCTGCTTCTTCCTGATATTATGATTGCTTTTCAAATTACTCTTTTTTTTGGTTGTTGCTTCAGTGCTTAAGTTTTTAACTCCCTTTCCCCCCTTTCCCTTTTTTACCCCGCTAAAAGTTGCTTGGTCATTAAAGATGACTTCTTCGTTGTCCCGCCCTTCTTGTTCTGCCAGCGTTTCTTGTTGTTTTTCATAGTTCAAGATCTCCATTTCTAAAAGTTGAAATACGAAGCCAAAAGATCCTCTTCCATCTTGTGCTTCTTCTTTTTGTTCTTTAAGTCTCATTTTTAACTCTTCAAGGAGTGATGCCATTTTAAAAAAATTTAAACAACCCCCAATTGATTTTATTTTATTTCATTAGGATCCTCCATCCAAAGTTCCAGAAATCATCCAATAATCCAAAACTGTTTCTTGCTTCTTTTCTCACTTTCTCTTTCCAGGGGCTTTGTTATCTTGTCACAAAGTTTCAGCTACAATGTATCTTTTGCAAGCCTTGTTAAAATTCCACTATCAATTTTTTTTAATTTCCAGGTGGTCTCCTCCATTTTCCAGATTCCACCCTCGTTTTTCCTTTTTCCCTCTGCTGCTTTCTTTCTTTTTTTAAAGAAAGTTTTTAAATTATCCAAGAATCTTTTCTCTTTGACACTTTATTTTCAGCTAGAAATAGCCTATTAATATCAAAATGGATTAGTATCAATTTCTTATTCGAATCTCTTCTTAATGTTCCAAGTCAGTTAAAACTGTCGATGTTAGAGGAAAAAAAGCCAATTCCGTTTCCTTTCCCTTTCTCTTTCGCAGCTTAAAATCTTTTTTAGGAATAGTGTTAGTCTTTAAAATTCAGGTTCCAGGTACCTTAAACAGATGTTCTCCGTTCAACCCAGTCAGTCATACTTTCTCCTTTAAACTTCCTCCTGCACAATCTTGTCCGGTCAGGTTCTTCTTTGAGGTGGCCATTTCTGACCACCGCTGCAACCGCCTTTGGGAAAGGGAGTAATGGCCAGCCAAGGAGGAGAGATGCTGCTCTCCTCAACCCTGCTGATGGCTCCCTCTTCTTCACCACCTCTATGGAGTGGCTTCAGCCCCGAATCCAGGTGGCTCGGGGCGCTCCAGCGGCGAGCACTGATCAAAACCACGGACAATCGCAATTTCGGTCTGTCGCCAAAGAAGCCCAAACCGGAAGCTTCTTACTGGCCTGGTGCTAAGCCCCAGCTGCTACCAAGCAGCCTCTACTGAGCACTGTCCCAGCACGAGAAGCAGGCTGCTGTCCACAACCAATCCAACTATCTCCCGCTGAAGTTGCCCCATGCACCTCACAGGCGGGGCGGCACTCCCCTGCCCCGCACAGCTTCTGCAGGTGTCTGCAGGCGGAGGGAGGCAGCTCCACCACTATCCTGCCACCTGTCTTGTCTCACCATCTTCACCAGGTAGAGGGAAGGGCAGTGGCAGCTGCCAGCAGCAGAGCAGCCACAGGTGAAGGAGAGGCCGAAGGCAGCCCCCACACCTGCCTCACATTGCTGGCACGAGAGCTGCAGTGCCCACCAGGGTCAGGGCCTGAAGAGCCTGAAGAGTGCCTGGCTCAGTCCATAGAGTGAAGAGTGCCTGCAGCAATGAGTAGGCATTCAGGCTGGTGCTCAGCAGCCCAAGTCAACAGTGGGCGAGGCGGTGTGGGAAGCATGGCTGCACTGGCAGCCTCTAGCAAAGGGTAGGCCAGCGGCCAGAGGCCAGCAAGGCACTCCAGAAGTCATAGATCTGGGCTGACTCACCCCAGGAACAGCCCATTAGGGTGGTCGAGAGCAGCGTGCCCAGGAGGGCAAAGAGCACCATGAGGCCAGCAGTAGCATGGGCAGCTTTCTCAGCAGGGTTTCTGCCATAGCTGAGTCGTATCTCAGCAGTATCAGGGCCAGGAGGCAAGGGCGGGCAGAGGCTGGATGCACCGAGAGCTTTGTCTGCAGGCACTTCGAGAGCAGCAGCAGGGTGTTGGTCAGAGTTGAGCTCAGGCAATTTGCACAGCAACCACACAGCCAGCATGGGGAGCCATTTCTGCCTCTGCCCATCA